GCCCCAGATTTGGGGGGTTGGGCAACCGAAGCAAAATGGCTGGTGGTGCCAGCCAAAAGAAGGCCGACGCCGGTTCATTTTTCTTTCGCTCACAGGGCGCTTGGCCAAAGGTACTGGTCGTTTCAAAGTTGCCCCCCCATTCCTTCGTACTTTGGAGGCTGCATTGATTAGTATGATTGCTGCATTGATTAGTATGATTGCTCTTATCACCTCTCCTAGCGGAGGGACTGTTTTTTTTTTTTTTTTTTTTTTTAGAAAAAGTTCAAAAAACTTTCAAAAAGGTATGATTAGTATTGATTACCCTCTTTATTTGAGGGCTTTGACAGGCTCCATCCCTTTTGAGTCTTCACAGAAATTCCCAGCTGCTGCGGCAGTGCTGCCATTCCATCATTCTCCCAGCCCCTGTTCCGGGATTATCTAAGGCTTTTGCTGTCGGTTGCTTCCTTTCGTCAAATCCTTGTCTGCCTGACCTCTTTTTTTCCTTCTTGTTTTTTAAAGCTACATTCTTCTCTCAATTTCACCTCACAGGCTCCCACTACCTACCTACCACTTTTTTTTTTTTTTTTTTGCCCAAGCCTCAGATTAAGAAATTCAATACAACACAAACACACGCCTGTGACGCCTCTTCCCATTAGGCCTGGAAGAGCCTCGGCCACCGCTCCCGTGGAGACAGCTTCCCTAAACATCAAAAGTGCAGAATGCGCGAGGGGCATTGATTGCTTCCCCTCATGGGAAGGATTAACCCCCCGCCATGCAAAAATCGAGTAATTGTAGGCATACGGTGAACCGCGTAGCAGCCAGAACCGTGTTCACGAGAGAACATGCGGGGGCTGCTCCCGACCTGCAGGTGGGCGATACCGGCTGATCTTCCACTTTGCTCTGTTTTCCCAATGCGTTCAAGAAGAAAAGAAAAAAAAGTCAAAAGAACATTTTCCCAAAGTGCAACTGTGTGACAATGAGCTTCTCTGCCGCGAATGGGCCAGTGGGCCAGCTGAGATCCAGGACCAGACCCGCGCCTCCTGGCCCCTCCAAAAAAAAGAACGAAAATAAATCCCGGCCCAAACGACACGAATAAAAGGGATTTTCAGAGGAATGCCGTGGCGTGGCGTGGTGTGCCGGAAAATGGGCCTGTGACAGAAGTGCAGGGTGATGTGCCAGAGGTAAGGAGGTCACAACTGGTGTTTTAAAGACTGGACTGGTCAGGATTCGTCCTTTCGAATGACACCTCCTGAGTACTGAGACCCTGTTCAAATTCCTCCTCCTGCAAATTCCTTTTTTTTTTTTTTTTTTTTTTTTGGAAGAAAGGGGCCCAGTGCCCAAGGCTCATATTAACATATGTAATACAACACAGAAACACACCTCTTCCCATCAGGGCTGGAAGAGCCTTTCGCCACTGCTCCCATAGAGACAGCTTCCCTACTATTACTGCTAGGCCTATCATCTTCTGAGAGATGTAAACCTTATTAGCTAGAACTGCCTCTTCAGCCCTTCATTGGGCCGCCTGTTGCTGTCCATAACACCTGGTGGTCTAGCTACTCCCTTGAACACACCACCGTTCCCTGCTTTCCAAGACTGCCCCCTTTTTTTAACTTTCTACATTTCCATCACTCTCCCCCATACCATGCCTTGCTGACTAAACAATTTGCAAGGGGAGGAAAGAAGTCTGGGAACAGGTCACTTGGCCGCATTGGAGTTGCGTCATCTAGCTTGGTCCAATCATTGAAGAGGAGTCTGTAGTCTCCGGTTATCTCCTTGTAGTCTGGCACCCCCTCCTGCCCCCCTTTTCACTTTTCCCATTCCACTGCAAACTCCACTGTAGAGCTGTCTTTTTTTTTTTTTGTGTGTGTGTGTGGTGTGGGTGCTGGCCCCTGCTGGGATATATAATGACAAAAGAAAAAAAGCCCTCAAAGGCCGTCCTGTCCAGGTTCGACAGGTAATTGAATTGGTTGGGCTTAAAGAATTAGCCTTTAAAAAAAAAAAAAAAAAAAAAAAAAAAAAAGAGGGACTGGGATACTAGACTTATCGGATAGGGTGTTTGTTGTTTCTTTTCTTTCGTTTCTGTATTTGTTGTTGGCTGATGCTTGGTTTTGATTTGCCTCCTTTAGGAGGCTGTAGAGTACGACTTGTGTTTGGCGTGTAGGGTATTTTCTTTGGTCACCTTCGAAGGCTGGTACTATCCGGTTTCGGACGTAAGTGGTTGGTTTCCCCTTTTGTAGGCCTACGGGTCTGGCCTTCTCAGTATGTGGGCCACATTGGGCAGGATAGAATCTGGCTCGAACCGGTGACCTGTGTTTTGGTAGATGAAGTTTAGTCATAGTGTGTGGTCTTGTCTTTTGGGTATAAATTGCGTCCGAGGCAATTGTTTGTTCTCTTCAGGTCTGACGGCCTGCGATGCCTATCGGTGTCCGGAGACCGGTAGGTGCAGCAGACGGAAGTGGGTTAGTGGTCAGCTTGGTTAGTACGGGTTTGTCGGTGGAAGTCCCCCTGATGATGACGGCGTGGCGGCCGTCGAAACGCGTCGGGGACGCTAACAGAAATTCTTCCTATTCTTTCTATCTTGTTTGACATCAATTGCACTCAATTACTTTGTCTATGATTGCTTCACTGTTCATGCGTTTGCGTTCATGACCTTGTGACTTCGTACTTGCAATTGCGCACGATAACTCACCTGGAGTCCGTTGTGCTGGGTTTGAGTGACCATGTTATCTGTACTCTGGCACCAGTTTGCCAACTGAAGAACAGGTGTTGACCAGGGTGTTTTGTCAGCACGACTGTCTGAGTGAAGAAGAGGAGGGGAGTATTACCCTGGGTGTTAAGACTTGTTTGACGTGAAGGTCCCACATGATGGCGGGGGATGAACAGAGAGGGTATCGGTCTGGTGGCGATAGTCGGAGGAGGGATGACCGCTGGAGCGAGGAACGGAAGGAAGACGACCGGCGTGATGAAGATCGTAGGCGGTATAGAGCGCCAACGTGTTTCAACTGCCACAAGCCAGGGCACTATGCGAATCAGTGCCCTGAGAGGAATCGACGGCGCTATCACTTGGATAGACCATCGTCGTCCTTTGACTCCCGTGGGGGGCGATCACCGCGAAGACGGGACTATCGACGCAATACGTCACTGGGAAAGGAGGCGATAAGTAGCACGGTCGCTGAACTCGGAAAATCCGTGGTTGCTATGAAGGACTTCTACGAGGAGGCACGGCTGAAAAAGGAGGCTCAGGAGCGACGGAAGGCTGAGAATATCGAAGCAGAGGAGCGGGAGGCGGCCGAGCGTGAGAAGGCGGAGCGCAAAGCTAAGAAGAAGATGGACAAGTTAAGACAGGAAGCCGAGCTCGAAGCTGAACGAAGGGCGGAGCTTCGTAAGGACAACGACATTCACCTTGCGATCCGCTTGAGCGAGATGGAGGAGAACTTCTCCACAAAAATGAAGTGTGTTATTGAACCGCTTAAAGAGCTGCTCAAGAAAGGGAAGAAGCAAGTTACCTATGCATCCGCGAGTGACTCCGCCTCGGAAGGAGCCAGTGACACAAGTGTGACACAAGAGTTGAGCGAGCAGGCTGGCAGATTGTTTATCTCCGAGAAACGGAAGCGCGGCCCCGAACAAACGGTGGGAGATAGTCCACCATAGGAGTTGCCCCCGAAACGTACACCAAGGAGGGGAGCGTTGAAGCCGACTAAGCTGACCGGAAGGCTCACAAGAGCGAAGAAGATAGTGAAATCGCCTGGATCAGCCAAGCGAAAGACGCCTGTAAAGATGTCGTTATCCACCAGATTGAAGCTGGCCAATCAGGCGAAGACGCCAGCACAGGTGGGTACTCCAGAAATGAAAGGAGCATTGCAGCGTCTACGATACCGCGATTTAGTCTTGAGAGATCTCAAGAATCTTGACGCTACAGAATTGCAACGTATCTGCAAAGAGGAGGGCGTCCCGTATGATGGTAAGATTGGTGCTATCTTTGCGATAGCTGGCCAACGTGTTTGTGAGAGGTTCGGACCTGATCGCCTCGAGGTTACCGATGTTATCAAGGTTATCGATAGTGAGGCGGGCCAGCCGTCGCAGGATCAGGTTGACAACTAACGTGTGTTGGAGATTCCGATTGTCTGGGATTTATGCAAGCACTTTACGAAGCTTCGTGGTTGTCTCGCTTGTATTGATGGACGTATTGAGGAAATATTGCGTCATATTGTGCTGAGACTGTCTTTGAATGGCGAGATTAAGTGGTCTCAAAAGTTTGTCCCTTCCTGGCTGGACATGTACGAAAAACACGGAATTGGGTTCTTGCACCTATCGAATGTTGTATATGTTGGCATGACCCGTATTGTAAGGCACTATATGTTGGTAAGACCTCTAGGGACGTGAGTACTAGGTGGCGTGAACACGTGTATGTATGCAAGTCTCACACCCCAACGCATTTTTATCGTTGCTGGTAAATTTGGTGGGAAATTATCTTCTGATGCCCATCGATCATTTGGAAGGGGATGAATTAAATAAGTTGGAGGAAGTGTATATCAGGCGTTGGTCTCCTTTTCTGAATTTGTCCGGTGTGTCGCGTGGTAAGTGGGGGAAGAAGTCGAGACCAGGACGGAGGGAGCGTAGCAAATCGCGCAAGGAAGGGCGGGGTGATATCGTGGACTGTAAGATCGTTCGGGGCAGAAGATCTGTGGATGAGCCTTGGGTCGTTGACTTTTATCATTTGTTTGATTCTGGCATAAATGATGGATTGCCTAATCCACGCGTCATTATCGAGGGAGGGAACATATGACACACCTGTTGGAAGAAGTTCGTTAAGGCCTTTGGTGAAACTAAGAAGTTCGTTAAGGCCTTTGGTGAAACTAAGTTACGAAAGGACGGACAGACTATGAGGCTTAGAGATGCTAAGCGTATTTTGGAGGAAGGCGTGGAGTTCGAGGTAGTGCAGTGGTGGAAGTGGAAACCCAGATGCCGCTATCTGAAAGCCCTGCTAATCCAGATCTTGCGAAACCCACGGAAGCTGGATGATGTTTTTTCCTGGAATTTACGGTCTTTGTTGAGGCTGTATAGGGCTATAAAGGATTTTTCTAAAAAGTCTACGAGGAAGTACTTGCGTCGGATTATCTCCAGAATTTTCCGTGAACGATTCGATCTGAGCCTGAGCTCTGATCCGATATTTCGTTTGAAGTTTGATGATTGTATCAAAGTCTCTGAGGTTCGGAAAGTTGTGAATGATGCGCTGATGCTTGGTGAGTTACCACAGTGTTTTCTAAACCGAACGCGAAGGAAAGTGCATATTGTATGGGTTAAAAACCCGTCGGTATCGGATGTTATGCACAATCAGCGAGCGTTTGCTGCTCGTGACGTGCTGACCTGTACTTGTACAGGCATGTCTTTCCCTCGTTCTGAAGGACACGTTCGTTTTCGGCTTGGTGAGCTGGAAGGTTTACACCCGTTGGTGCACAATGCTAAGAATGTACATCGATTTGCAGCGCTGCATGAGCACCTCACTGTGTGAGCCTGATGTCCATCTCAATATGAAGTACGTGCGAGATGTTTCGGCCAGCCTTCAGGGTCTGGTTCTGTAGGGTCTGGTTCTGTCTCCCCTGGACCGTAATCCGGTTGAGACTGTGGCCATGTGCCCAATGTTGTATTTTAATGCGATGATGTTCACTTTTGTTATGAGTCCTGGGGCTATCGTGTTATGGAGGTCTCTGAACAGGAGGTGATGAGGGAAATTAAGGAGGATGTCGAGAGCCTTGGGTTGACTAAGCGTGTGCGTTGGGACAAGGCGGGGGAGTTTGGTTCTGCCTATGTCCTACCAAAGCAGAAGGACCTGGACAGATACAGACCGATCTGTCCCACCCTCAACGAGCCAATGGTGCGCACCGGTAAGGTAGTGTCGCGAGGTCTGAACTTCCTCCTGAAGTCACTTCCGAAGAAGTGGCACTTCAATCTTATGTCTGTTTTTGGTCTAGCGAGCCGATTATCTGAAGTGAATCTGAACAGCTTCGTTTGGATGTTGACTGTTCTGTGTCAACTTTCTCCTTCCACATCAAAGAAATGTTCAGCCGACTTCCGCACGCTGAGATTCTCAGAGCTGTCGATTGGCTGTTTGGATACCACTTGGCAAAAGGAAGGACTGCAGTCAGAGTGAACCCCAGGGGAAAGGGGGCCTCCTTCGGCCCGACCACGGGTGCTGACCATTGGAGATCCCTGGACCTGCAGCAGATGGCGATGTTTGTGCGTCTGGAGCTGGCACATACGTATACGTTTGCCACAGGGGTGCTGCTCAAGCAGATTGTGGGTATCCCTATGGGGAAAACAACTAGCCCACCGCTCGCATGTATTTTATGTGCATATGCTGAATATCAATTTCTGCAGAGTATGGGGAAGGACTCTAGGCTGATTTTCGGTACTCGTCTGATTGACGATGTAATGCTGACAATTGCGACTAAGGATACGGAGAAGAGGGACGGGATATTATCTGCCTTTGAAAAGTGCAATCCAGCTGTGCTTCCTCTGAAGCGGACTGACGACGGCTCGGGAACCTTTGACTTCCTGGGCTGCCAGATCATTACGAAGACAGGTTATCCCTTTGTCAGTAGCGTGCAAGTCTCAAACAATGAAGCCACTCTTTGGACTGAGCAGCGCCTGCAGATCCAATGTGGGCAGTCCTACCTTTCCTGGGGTTGCAAGAAGCAAAAAAGTGCGGTGATCGGAAGCTATTTGCACCGCATTGATCGTAATACCATGATACGATCTGAAATCCCGCAAAGGGTGCGGTCACTGAAACGGGAACTGATGAAAAAGGATTTTCCTGCGGAGTTCTTCATGAATATTTTGAAGCATTTTGCCTTCAGAAAGGATCATGTCTGGAAGTGCACTGTCGACTTGCTGAGTATGTAGCCTTGTCCTTTCGTCGGTTATTCTGTCTACTTGAAGATGCGAAGCATCGGCATTTGCCTGAGAATTCGGATAGGGTGTTTGCTGTTTCTTTTCTTTCGTTTCTGATTTTGTTGTTGGCTGATGCTTGGTTTTGATTTGCCTCCTTAAGGAGGCCGTAGAGTACGACTTGTGTTTGGCGTGTAGGGTATTTTCTTTGGTCACCTTCGAAGACTGGTACTATCCGGTTTCGGACATAAGTGGTTGGTTTCCCCTTTTGTAGGCCTACGGGTCTGGCCTTCTCAGTGTGTGGGCCACATTGGGCAGGATAGAATCTGGCTCGCACCGGTGACCTGTGTTTTGGTAGATGAAGTTTAGTCATAGCGTGTGGTCTTGTCTTTTGGGTATAAATTGCGTCCGAGGCAATTGTTTGTTCTCTTCAGATCTGACGGCCTGCGATGCCTATCGGTGTCCGGAGACCGGTAGGTGCAGCAGACGGAAGTGGGTTAGTGGTCAGCTTGGTTAGTATGGGTTTGTCGGTGGAATTCCCCCTGATGATGACGGCGTGGCGGCCGTCGAAACGCGTCGGGGACGCTAGCAGAAATTCTTCCTATTCTTTCTATCTTGTTTGACATCAATTGCACTCAATTACTTTGTCTATGATTGCTTCACTGTTCATGTGTTTGCGTTCATGACCTTGTGACTTCGTACATGGATGGGAAATCTGACAGCAACAGTCACAGCATTTTTTTATTTTTTTTCTGGGCTTACCCTTTATGAGACCCCGCCGACCGACCCTCCACTCGTCAATTCTTCCTAGCGCACCGCCACTCTCGCAGGCTCCAAGTAAAACCCTTTGGCACGCAATCAGAAAGTAGGGGCAACCTTAATTCATTCTCTCTCTCGCTGTCCTTTCCGATCTTTTTTCGGCCCTCCGTCTTACTGTTCCTTTTTCCTTTTTCCTTCTTCTTTTTCCCTTTTTCTCCTTTTTCTCCTTTTTCTTCTCTTTTTCTGTTTCTTTCTAGGTTACCTGATCGGACGTCCGGGACCCCCCTGACCATCCGGGGTTGTCCGATCGGACAACTGGGCGGACGTCCTCCCCGGGCAGTCTGTCCGAGCCCGGAAAAAAAAAAAAAAAGTCCTCAGAAAAATCTGAAAAAAAAAGTATGTTATACAGAAAAATAAACTGAACAACTTTTGCCTTGGAATCATATCCAAATTCGCTGCCAATTTTAAAATAAAAAATAAAATAAAAATAAAAATCTTTTTTTTTTTACTTTTTCCGTGTTTTTAATTGCTAAAAATGGAGTTGTCCGGGCCCAGACGTCCGGGACCCCCCTGACTGTCCGCCCAGGACGTCCGGCCAGGACGTCCTGCCATCGGACAACTGGTAGCCTAGATATA